AACCATATTTAGAACAAAGGTTGGAAGTACAGACATCAAATTCAACAATCACTATCTCTAGGTGATAATGTGATGTGTGCCTGAGCTCTCTCTGTACTTCCATAGACTTTCAAATATTCTATAATAAGTCTGTACTACCCGTTTAAAGAGAAAAGATGTGCTTTTAAAATAAAAGCAATTCAGCTGGATGTACAGCACTGAAGACTTCCTGAAATCTTACAGAATTTTGGAGAAAGAGGGAAATATAGGAGCTTATGTAACACGAAGTACCTTTCTTTAGAGACGATGGGATGTCTGAAAAAGGGAAGTAGACTGCCAGAGGTTCCCCACCCAGGCTGTTAATGACTGAGCTATGGCTGAACTCTGGTCTCTGGGCTTTTGGGCTAGAGGATTTGAAGTGGTCATGCTGGCCAGGAACCTGCCTCCCTTCCTTCCCACTCTGTGAGGGTGATGGAAAGACCACAGGAAGTGCTGTGATTCCAAGGGTGGGGAAGGATGTAATCGCCTTTGCAGAGAGGACTTTGCAGCCCTCATTATTCTCTCTTTGGGAGTTAGTAGGTCATTTGCAAAAAGCATGGGAAGAGCAGCTGATGAAGAGGTCTAATAGTTTGGAAAATTGCTTAACCTTATTGCTCTATTTCTGGATGTTCCCCCATGGCCAAGGACTGTTGAGATCCTGATTTCCCTGAGAGGCTTCCCATTTAGGAATAAAACAAAACCTCTGAAATCCAGAGGAATTAGGGAGAAGAAAAGCTGGAGTGAGGGAAAGTCTGAATACTTTTGAAGGACAGTCAAGTCTATTCTTTCAAGGACATTGAATCATAGATTTGGACAGAGCAGAGGCCAGCCTCCTACTTAGTGTAGGAACCCTGTGTTTCATCCTGAATCATGCTGCATCCAGACTTCTCTTGAATATTTCCAAAGACAGGAGGCTCACTATTCTGAAAAAGTCTTTTTTTCACCTGAGTTGGAATCTGCCTTCTATAAGGTTGCCTTTTCCTCTGGGAGTCACAGAAAGTGGGTATCTACTTTTCACCCAAGTGGTCCTCAAATATTTGACAGCAGTTATGCCCAAATAGTCCTCTACAGCATTCTCTTCTTCAGGCTGACCATCCCAGAGTCTTCAACTGTTATTTAAGTGACAAATGTCATCAACTCTAACTAGAAATATGTCTGGCTAATTAGCTTCTAAACTAACAGCTATCTGAATTCAGAGGTGAGGAGCTTAGGCATTAGGGATACTGTCCTTGCTATTTTATAGCTGAGCAAACTGAGGTCCATGGGAAGGCTACCTTACCAACTTCAGAAAGAGAGGAAGAGAGAGAGGTTGAGTTGAGTCCTAAACCCTAGTTGTGTGAATCCGAATTCAGAGCTCTTTTCAATTTACCCTGCCTCCTGTTATTCATAAGACAGCGGCATTTCTCAAGTTTTTGAAAGTGCTTGGGAAGTTTGTTCTCTTAGGTATTTCAAAAATTCTTCCTTCAAGTTATATTTGCATTGTCAATAAAGTAGGGATAAGCACAGAACTGAATTTAGTCGAGGTTATACTGCCAACAAAAAGTATCATTCAAAATGCATTAATTCACGTTGCTCTCCACTGTCAGAAAATTGTTCTTGCCCTAGAATACTAGCTCAAAATGGGCAGCACACCTATAGGGCCACCCAGGACAAATTGCCTGAAGGTCCAACCGCCCATTCAATTTAGAAGACCTTCTCAACTTTGAAACTAAGACTGAGTTTGCCAAGGACCTGGGGCAGTCTGTATTTCTGCTTTAGCCTGCTGTGTTTGCTTTAAAGTTTCATATCCTCTTTTCAATTTGGCCTGATTCTCTGATTAAAAAAAAAAAAATGAAGCCGAGACTCAGAGAAGCAAAGAAGGTACTTCAGTGATTGGTTTCCTGTCCCAGTCCCCAGCCACCCCGCAGTCACATGCTTCAAAGGGAACATTCCTCCCTGTCTCAGCCCATAGCAATCTCCCTCTTCTCCCTACAGGGTATTGCATTTCCAGTTACTACCCTTGTTTTGGCACACACTATGAATTGCTCCATGCTGCTTCCCGGTTTACAAGGATGCTGGACTCCATGGATTCTGGAATCAAGCAGACCTAGGAACTACTACTGATTCTGAAACTAACCAGCTGAGTGGCTTTGGAAAGTTACTAAACCTTTCTGAACATCAGTTCCTTCATTTGTTAGATGAGGACAATTATTTTACATCATAATATAAAAATGACATAGTGCTTAATAGGTGCCTAACATAGTCCTAACTAACTTTTAGTTAGATTCCATAAGTCCCTACTTAAACAGAATCTGAAGGCTTTCTCATGCCAGGCACAGCAGGTGCTCTATAAACACTCCCAGACTGATTCTAGAGTAGGCTCTATTTGTTGGTGAGTTCACCACCAAAGACATTGCAAGCACCATGTGAGGACAGGTCCTATTCCCAACCTCCTTTTTCTCTAGGTTCCTTGCCCTAGTAATTATCACAACAGGCAGGCCCACTCCATCTTGTCACTGTTCACACCTGTCAGTTTACATCTCAGGGTACAGTTCTCACTTGACAGACTCTGAGAACTTGCTGTCCAGGCAAAGAAAACTTTGTGATGATGAATTCAACACAAACCTTATACAATCAGCATGTCAGCAGACAGAGGCAGAGAGGGAAACAAAGCTATGCCGTGGACCCATGGTGCTCTTGCTTTTCAAGACCCTTAAAATTGAGCAAAGTTTTTGCATTTAAAGTGTTCCTAAAGGGACCCAAACATGGCTAAACTGTCTTTCAGCTGCGAACCTGAATTAACATTCATAGCTGAATTATGACTGAAATTATATTAGACATTCTTTTAGCCAAAAGAGTAAACATACATAATGTTGACAAAATTTATTAATAATATTGTCTATGAGACTTACAAATAATGACAATTAATGATAGATAAGATTCCAACCTTTTTTAAAAGTCAAAACTATGAGAAATTTCTACCTGGAATGTTTCAAAACTCCTGGTGGATCATAAAGAATTAAGGAATCTCCCAACTTCCCTATAGGTAGAGGATAATCCCGGTGAATTCTCCTTGTTAAGTAAAGCACACCATTGCCCCTATTGCAAATTATTTGTTTATTCCCTTAATTTTGTGTTAAGGACCCAAAAGACATAAAAACATCCATCAAAATGAATTTACTGTGGTGGAGCCCCCAAGTAAAGCTTCCATAATTGACAGTGAGGTAGAATTCTGTGACAATATGTTCAAGAGACTACAGCGGCTCCTGGCTTGGCAGTGGGGTCTCCTGGCTCGGCAGTGGGGTCTCCTGGCCTTTGCCCTGTTCTGACATCCCTGGCTGCTTACCTTGGGCTGGTCATTTCCCTCCCCGCCGTTCAGATCGGGGCTCATCCAAATCTAAGAGTTTATAGGCAGTATGAAGATTACTTGGAAGAAGTGCCCCCATCTCTTGGTGTGGGGCCCAGAGCAGAAGGAGATTCTGGAACTAGGTATGAAAACCTTGGACAAAACATAAAAGCACTAAATGGCATACATACTAATTTGCCATGACACATTCCAAAAACAAGAGCCTAGGCTTCTGAGAGCTCAGTGCTCGTCTAGATGCCCCATAACCAAGCTAACAGGAAGCAGGGAAGGCCAGTGCTTTTCTGGTTGGGGACCTTGACTGGAACAGAAGGGAAGACAGAAGGGAAGACAGAAGTGGACTCAGCTTCATGAGCAAGTGAAATGGCAATGAACCTTGCGGGCTGATCCTTCCCAGCCTGGCGTTGCCAAGGAGGACGATCCACTCCATGAAACCTGGGCCAAGCCCTGGCTCAAACACACAGGCAAAAATAGAAAGGGGCTGCGAGAAGAAATGTGTTTACTTTTGTGATTTCCCTCTGTGCCTCTTAACGCTATTATAATCTCTCTGCAAACAGGCAGTAAGGGCCCAAGGGCCTCACCTTCATTGATAAACCCTCCCCAACAACTTGTGCACTGATCTAAAACCTTCTTAATGCCTCATGGCCACTATCTAGGTAACTGAAAAGCAGGTTTAAAAGCATGATGCAGTAGAAAGCATGCTGGCAAAGGTCTGTCTGGGTGAACTGTGACAATCCCCTCCTGAAGGGAACTTGCATTCAAAGCTTAGATCAGTGGCTCTCTGCTGGGGTGACATTCACCCCTCTGCGGTATCTGGTAATGTCTGAAGATAATTTTTGGCTATTACAAAATGAGGGGTGCTATTGACATCTAATCCGTAGAGGCTGGGGTTGCCGCTAAACATCCAGCAATGCATGGAACTGCCCTCCACAGCAAAGAGTTATCTGGTTCAAAATGTTAACAATGCTGAGAATGAGAAAGCCTGGTGTATAATGAAGTGTGCAAGAGGAGAAAAGGGTTAGAAGTAAGGCAGGAGGAGGGGTTAAACCCTGTTTCTAGGCCACGAGTTATTCACCAGCGATGTATTTTCCAGCTCTGTTCCCTGTGACCCAGGCTTTTGATTTTCCTTGGAATTACAGGTCTATGATTAAATAGTTTTTGCACAAGAACATCTTCCTCATCCTGAGTATGCCAAGCCCTGGTGCAGTACAAAGAGATCTACTATAAGGCATAGCAAAGATATAAATACACACAGTTACTAAACAAGTAGAACTGGAAGGTGGGTGGTGGGGGCATTTGAAAGGACAAAACATATGCCCAGAACTTCTCTTCTATGAGTCAGTGTTTCTGAGGTAACAGCATGGAATAACAACTGTAGGATGAACCAAGTTATGCTGAGAGCAAGCAGGACTGACTGGGGCGGGGCGGGAGGGGGGTGGCGGGTGACACAAGTGTTAGGAGAGATACTGGTTTGCAGCTATAGATTCAAAGGCACATGGAAGGGTTAAGCCATCAGTGCATGTCATTCCTGTGTCACTCACTCCACAGTTAGCCACTGGGCAGTTATTACAAATAGTTACCTGTGGTTTCCAGTGGGAGAGGCAAGGACACTCCAGTCAAGAGGTTTTGGAGAAACAGGTGCAATGAAGTCACGGTCAAACAATTTATTTACTGTAAACTTTAGACTTTGCTCAGAAAAACAACTGAAGCTGTCCCTCGAATCCCTGCCTATAACATTCCATTTGAGCAAATAAGAGGAGTGGGGGAGAGTCCATGTTCACAGCTGACAAAAGTCCGAGACACTCAGGATTTTCAAGTCCAAGGGTGCAGGAAAGAAAATCTTCAGATACAAATGACCAGCAGCATATATTACCCCTAATACTTGACCAATGAGGTAGATACATGGAAAAGTCATCAAAACATACAGACCCAGGTTCTCCAGGACTAACACCCTTTAGACATAAACCTAAGTTTCCTGCAAAGAGTAACTGCACTGTACAAGAAACAAAAAACCACTCAAATAACATTTTCTCTTTTTTACAGCTTACAAAAATAAAAAAGGCAGAAGGATGCCCTTCTCTTGCAAATCTCTGTACAATTTTATTCTAAATTTATTACACTCAACTTAAATAGACTGGTTAGTGTTCTGTTGGGGAGGGGAATCTTAAAAAGTAGAAAACCTGCATTACAGCAGTGAGTCATTTGTACTACAATTCCTCCCTTGAGAATCAATGCTATCACTAGGCACAGTACCTTGACAGTTCACAAAGCCTTCCATGCCTGGGGGGTCCTCACACAGCAGTTCGCTTTCTTTCTCCTGCCCCAGGTGACATCCACTCTGTTCCCCTGTATAGTCCGTTTTGCCATTGCTGTTGCTGGAGTAGCCGTTTCCGTAGGCCTTGGAAGATGACCTGCGTAGGCACAGAAGCTCCTGGAAGGCAATTCTGAAATCTGGGCTCCGGCAATAGATAAGAGGGTTGAAAGCAGAATTGATGTAGCCCAGCCAGTTGAGGAGGATGTAAACTTCCTTAGGGATGAGGTTATCCTGAATGGCATGCACAACATTGACAATGAAGAAAGGCAGCCAGCACAGGGTGAAAATCCCCATGATGATGCCTAATGTTTTGAGGGCTTTATGCTCTTTCAAGCAGAACTTAGAGGATCTGCGAAGTCCATGCCCGCTCCGCCGGTCCTGCTCCACCTGGCTGAGGTTTTGGGCGTGGAACCGGCCCTCAGATTTGTCAATCTTCTGGAGCTGCCTTTTGGCCACCTGGAACACCCTGGAGTAGACAAAGACCATGATCACCAGTGGCACGTAGAAGGACACGATGGAGGAAGCGATGGCATAGGCTTGGTTCGTGAAGAAGTCACAGCAGGTCTCGTTGGCATAGCAGTTGATGGCATCCTGGTGGGTGGCCCGGTACCAGTGCATCTGGATGGGCAAGAAGGAGGTAAGACATGACACAATCCACACCATGAAAATAACCACTCGGGCCTTATTCTTGGTCAGCAGGCTCTGGTACTTGAAGGGTGACGTGATTGCAAAGTAGCGATCCACCGCGATCACACACAGGGTCTCGATGCTGGCGGTGACGCACAACACATCGATGGCAGTCCAAAATTCACACCAGAAGTTGCCAAAAGTCCACATTTTCATAAGGATGTGGCTGGCCCCAAACGGCACCACCGCTAGCCCCATGAGTAGGTCTGCACAAGCCAGGGAGGTGATGAAGTAGTTGGTGACCGTCTGCAGTCGCTCGAACTTGGCAACGGCTGTGATGACCAGCACGTTGCCAAACACGGTGGCCAGGACAATAAGCGACATGACCATGGCCATGCCCACCACCCACGCCTCGTCCCGTTCCTGAGTGATGTCGTGGCCCGGCGCTTGGCTTCCATTGGGCGCCAGCAAGAAGTCGCTGTCGTTCCCGGGTTGCCCCATGGCTCGCAGGCTGGCAGGTGAGCGCACTGGCTGTGGCACCCCGGCCGCGTCTCAGCGGGCGCGCTTCCCGCGGGGCGCTGCGGGCCGGGGGCGGACGCCTGGCAGCTTCATTCAGCGGCCGTGGGGTGGCTGTGGTGGTGGGTGCGCGTCCTGCTCACTCAGCTTGGGGGGTGCCCTGGACTCGCGGCGCCCGCCAGTTCCAGCCTGAGCTCTGGAGAAGCCGCCTAGGAGTGCGCTCTGCCCGTTATGTGCTCAGGACTTTAGGGGAACTGCCCTCTCCGTGACGCGCAGCAACTTTCCTCCAATGGCGCGCCTGCTGTCCCCTCCCTTCGCCTTGCCCGCCCCCTCCTGGGGCTGGCCCGGGCGGGGTCCAGCTGCTCCCCGCAGGGCGGGCTACCACTCTCTCGGGGCTACCCTGGCTGGCCCCAGAGGGCCAAAGCCGGGACCGCCGTGCTTACCTGTCAAGCCAGGTGTTTTGGGCTCTTCTGTGGCTACTACCTGTCAACCCTGGGAACCTCTAAGGCCTGAGGGCACAGAGGGTGGCACAAGCGCACTCCCCCACCTTCGGGAACAGAGATGGGAATGCCCACCGAGACACGCACATACAGGCACAAATGCACTCTGACAGACATGCTCAGACTTATACCGAACCACAACCACAGCCACAGAGACACACCCAGAGTACCGACATGCACACTCGCGCCTGCTCACACAGAGAAGGACAGGCACAAAATCACCCTGTCCAACAGAGAGGCGACCAGCAGCAAACACACAAGCACAAAGGTATGGGCACACACAGAGAAAGAAGTAAACACACCCAAACTTGCTGACTTGAAGGCATACAGATCCACACAGACACGGACGCCCCCATCTACATACTCACAACTCAGAAATGACAAGCACTCATAAATGACACCCTCTTCCCCCACCCCCCAAACACCTAGCGTATTCCCTTTCAAACGTTTGGCAAGTCCGCAGAAGGTGACTTCAACAGCTGCCCGTTTCCTCAGCACACTTCATTGTCAAATACTTTTGGTGCCCTCCTTGGGAATTTGCAGGCATTGAGAGGTAATTTTGCTCTTTGGATTTCATTGGGAAAAAAGAGAACGTTGTACAGTTTTATTTGTAGTTCTTGGGAGTGTAGCAGCACTCTATTATCTGTTGGGTAACTGGAGATGCATGGAAAACGAAACTCCATTGTGACTAAAATATTTTTTTTAAATCCTTTCATCTGCTGGATAATTTATCTGTTGGTTTTTGCCATATGAAACTGCTGTAATTTGACGATTGCCAATTTAGCAATTTCATGTGGCTCATGATATTAAAAAATATGTTAGCAAGAAGAACATTTTGAAGCTACAGAAAGAAAAGTTTGATTCTCCCTTTTAAAAGGTCAGATCGAGCCTTAAAACTAAGTCTTTGTCCATGAAATGCTATCCTTTGTATCTGGCATGTGACTTTACTGTTGAAAAAATTAATTTCTCGGGTTTGATATCACATGTATTAGTGTTGTCATTGAAAAACAGAGTATTTCATGCAGTGTAACCAAACATACCTTGTCGATTATGTAACAATAGCTAACATTTATGGAACATTGTGCTATGTACTTTTTGTACATTATTGCATTTAATCCTTCCCAGTCTCATGGAGAGAGGGCAGAGACTATTTTCATCTGAATTCACAAAGGAGGCTCAAAGAGGCAAATAGCTTGCCCAGGGGCAATGGCCAGGCAGCGCTAGAAGTTGGATTTGAACCCTAATCTGCCTGATTCTAAGATGCATTTTTTAATCTTTTCAATATGCTGTGTTATTCCATGCAGGGAAGAGTGGAGGCTGGGGAAGAAGTACTACAACAGGAATTAGAATTCCCAGGCTCCAAATAACCTGACTGGTTAGTTTCACCTTCACTTTCCAAAGGCCAAGAAGAAGCCTGATTTCCTCCAGATTTGAAGGGGATGATATTGTACTTCCATTGGAAGAGTGAGAATCCAGTGCTATAACAACTGTGAAAGTGCTTTTGCACATAGGAGGTCACACAAATACGAGTTGTCAGTGAAGTTTATATAGGTTACATAGTCACTTAGAATATATGGCTAGTGTCCTCTACCAGAACTGTAAAATTCTTTGGAACAAAAGTGGGGTGTTTACTCCTGAAGAAAGCTCAGAATCAAAACTTAACCTATATGTCCCCTGTTGAAGGAAGCTTCCAAAGCAGAAACTATCTTTTTACAAGCCAAAAGTCTTACAAAACAAATATTTCCCATTAAAGCCACAAATATCAATTAAGGATCTATTATGTTCACATAGTTTTCAAAATATACCCACCTCATATTTGTGTTTTCCAAAATTGGCTCTGGTATGATACATTTTAGGAAGAAGAGTATATATTATGCAACGTTTCTTTAAATACACATCTACCCAAATTGTGGAACTAAACCATTGAAAACCTCTTTCCTGTTTGTGAAACTATGGAATAAATAAGCATATTGTTTAACCTTCCCCGAACAAAAAAAAAAGAACAAAGAAAACACTTTTCGGACAAACATCAATCAATCATTTATTTAGATATAAACATAAGTGACTTAAATGTTTGACTGACTATTTTGGGAAACACCTTTGCTAAAACCCACAAAGGGGAAATTGCATTTGTCAACTAGGAGGTCCTCAGCCTTTGGCCACCAGCCTTGTCAAAAGACATAGATCAGTCTCTTTCTGTCTGTCTCTCTTTCTCCCCAAACTGGTAGGAATTTCAAGATGTTCTCTCCTCACCAGGAGGTTTTTCTTCTTCTTTGACCTCCTTTTAGAAATCTAGAATTACAGAAAATTAAAGTAGATAATTTTTAGTTTATTCCCTCTGTTCGTAAGAACCAGCCTGAAGTGAAGAAATGGGAAGGGTCCAGTCCAAGGTAGTAGGAAATTAGGAGTCAGCTCTGCCTCGGGGCCTCACATCTTTTCAGTACCCAAAGACTGCGACTTTGTTGCCTGGGAAGGAGTTTGCCTAGAACTGCTCACGGAGCTTGTGACCTTAGCGAGTTAAGATTTCAGGAGGCCAAGAATGTCCTTAGTAAACTAAGTGCACCTTTATCTAGTGTAAGAAAAATCAGACTCTTTTATGGTGATTGATAGGTCTAATTACATATTTTGTCAATCCCTTAAGACACCGATTTGTCATTTCCTGCCCGCCAAACAGGAATAAAAAAAACCACAGTTAGATTTATGTAATGAGTGCTTGAACAGGACTAAGGCTCTGTGGTGCCAGAAAATGCCCTCACTGCCATAGCTGGACAGCTGAGGAAAATCTTATCTTGGGTCTTGGCTTAGACAAGAGTCCTTCCATCTGCATGATCCTTAAGCAGAGAAACATCTGTGGATTTCTTTTGTTTAACTTGTTTATCTTTACTAATATCTCTGCACAGTATTACTTCATTAAATTTACATTAAATGAGATTGAACAGTTGTAAAGAGCTTAGCATGCTGCATCAGAAAAGAGCTAGTTATTACTCTTACCTTTATTTTTCTTTTTGGTGGTACTGGGGTTTAACTCAGGGTCTTGTGCTTGCTATACAGGCCCTCTACAACTTGAGCCATGCCGCAGTCCTTTTGCCTTTGTTATTTTACAGATAGCTTCTTGCCCAGATGGATTCTTTGCCCAGACCAGCCTGGACTGTTGTTATCCTCCTACTTACATTTCCTGAGAAGCTGGTATGACAGATGGGTCACCAAACCCAGCTATTGGTTGAGATGGGGGTCTCAGGAAATTTTGCAGAGTTTCCAACCTCTATTCTCTCAATCTCCACCTCCAGAATAGTTGGGATTGTAGAGCACGAGCCTATCATAATAGAGCACTCGGCTCTGTTATCTTATTATGTTTTTGGAGGCACTGGGGTTTGAACTCAGGACCTCACACTTGCTAGGCAGGTGCTCCAGCATATGAACCACTCTGCCAGCCTTTTTTTTGTGTGGATATTTTCAAGATAGGGTCCCTAGAACTATTTACCCCCACTGGCCTTAAGCCATGACCCTCTTAATCTCTGCCTCCTGAGTAGCTAGAATTATGTGTGAGCCACCAGTGTCCAGCACTATTATTTTATTTTTGAATTAAAGACTATACATAGAATGCATATTCATCTCATCATATATTGTGTATGAAAAGACCCTTTAATCATGGATAATTAGAAATTTATTTTTAATTTGAATTGCTGTGAAAAGTAATTGAAAAAAGGAACAAAACTGTATTCCTCATAAAGAATGATTTTGAAAAATTATCATCAACATTTGAGTTATATAGCTAGATGGGATGACAGTTGTTTTGGGGTGAAGCATCTTACAGTCTAGGCAGCTCATTACACAGTGCTTTCCCCAAAACTCGTGGAGAGCCATTTCTCGTGAGAGTAGGCTCCCCAGCTCCGTTCATAAGTTTCTCCCACAGTCCAGATTTTGGACTAAAATCCCTCTTCTTTCTTCTGCCCATAGATATTAAGTCTGCCCCCTAGAGGCCACTCAAAACAAGACACCACTCTCAGAGAACCCTTGAACTTTTGGGAGAATCCCTCTAAGTTCTCCTGAGCCCTCTCATCTTTAGGTCATATTCCTGAGTCTGGGGTCCCCTTTACCAGTGTGGCAGATCTCTTCTACCGTGCTTAAGCCTGTCTGTTGATGTCTAAACTTAATATCAATACCTGGAAAGATCCTAGAACAAGTCATCAAACAATCACTTCACAATCACCTTGGCAACCATAAAGTAGAGCAGAGCAACCAGCAAAGCTTTCCAAACAGCTGATTATACCAGATGAATTTAATTTCCTGCTATGCCAGGGTTTTATGAGAGACATAGCTAATAAATTCTCCACATCTCAGGGGCATTGAACAAAGGGAGATGGTATTAAATTAAAGCAAGGGAGACTTCAGTTGACCACAGAAAGGACTCCTTGACCTGAAGAGAATTAATCACTCAAAGAGGTTAAACTCTAGAGGCTTTTCTCAGTTGGGATTTTGCAAGAGAACTAAGCCCTCCACAAAACCATCATCATTATTATTTTGGTGGTAGTGGGATTTGAACTCAGGGCCTTGAGCCTACTTATGCTAGCACTTTAACACTTGAGCCAAGATCTTAGTACTTTTGGCTTTAGTTATTTTTCAGATAGGGTCCCTCATTTTTGCCCAGGACTGGTCTTGGACCAAGATCCTCCTATTTCTGCCTCCCATGTAGGTGGGATTACAGGTATGTACCACTACACCAAATTTGTT